CTTTGTGGAGTAGGACTATCAAGGGTGTACATAACTATAGTAATAAACCATCAAATTATATGGTAAAAAAGACACTCACAAGTGTCTGGAATAAAATGGCAGATGTGAAGGATGATCTCTCTAAAATGGGAATTAATACAAACGAGTGATCAAGAAACAGACTGGTGAGGGGGATAACTGATGAAGAATAGTGCCCATAGCCATAACAACCCCAATAATATTACTATAAATAGAAGTGTCCTTTTGGGTTACACGCAAGAACAAAATAAAGCAGAACTGAAAAGATATTTATTTGAAGGACTTATTTTGTTAAATAATTAATAGTTTAATTAGTTAATAGTAAATAAAGGAATACGTAATATTCCAGAATGATTTGAATACCATAGATAATAATTATTGTAACACCCGGTTCCCGGTATGTATTTTTATTACAAGCTTTTTCATATTTACACAGGGACTCGACGAGTTGGAGGCCCAACTCGTCGATTTGGTGCGAGTGATTGGACGCGGGTGGAAGTATCTACTCGCCGAGTCGGAAGCCCCGACTCGACGAGTAGACTTGTCTGGAGGAAACCCTAAAACTGAGGGTTTGCACACTATTTAAACACTTTAACTGGCCTCCTCTCCAGCCTCCGCCACCCTCAGCATTCTCGAAACCCTAATCAGTTGTGAGTGTTCTTGAGCTATTTTGGTGCCATTTTTGTGAGTTGAAGCTTGGAGAAGGAAGGAAAGGCTTGGAGGTTCGAGAAGAAGGCAGTAGATCCACAGTCTTGGTTGCATTTCCAGCTTGTTTGAGGTAAAAAGCTTCAACCTTGACTTCCCATTTGTTAGATCTTCTTTAGGGCTTGAATATTGTCATTTTGGGGCATTTCTAAGTCACATTCGAGTGTAGAGTGTATAGTAAAGTGTTGACTTCAGATCTTGAACCTTGGAGGGTTCTCATGGCATAAAGGTGCCAACTTTATGGCCATGAGAGCCCCATGCATCTTGTAGACTTCATTTTTGGGTCTTTTGAGCTTGAAGACCCATGCATGGACGTAAAGTTCATGACTTTACGTGTGATATCGACCCTAGGAAGTTAGATCTATGTTCTGGATGCATTAAGCCCGACTGAAATCGACTTGGTAGACTTGGACTTTGGGGGACTTCGCGAGTCGCTTATAGGACTCGGCGAGCCAGGTTAGGACTCGGCGAGCCAGGTTATGGTTCCCCAACATTAATGGAGCTGGCTTGCGAATTGAATCTTCTATCCTCCATTAGCATCCCCTTTCAACCAAGCACTCGAAAGGATTATTAGTTTTGTAATATGGCCAATGACGAAATCTTTTATGTTGACATGCTTAGAATAAAAATGGATCAGACAAGTGTAATATCAAGAGATGTAACTGTATAGTGGTTGCATGAGGTCCCCATCAAAGTGATATGTTTTATTTGGAGGTAAAATATCGATTGCATCCCCACAAATTGTGCTCTTCTAAAAAGGGTAATGATTTTGCTTCATCGGTATGTGGTTACTGGCTACTATTCAAAGGATGATGAAGACGCTAGACATGTACTAATCCGATGTCCGATGGCAGGAAACTGCGGTGTGGGAATGGGTTTTTTGATGGTATGATATTCCAATGCCTCAATTTGACAACTTTGGTGATTTGGTGGTGTTCATTACAAAGTAGGGAATTGTTTGAAGCAGAGAAAAAATATCATTGGCACATGTTATGATGTGACTTGGCTGATATGGAAGGCGAGATGTGACTAGCTTTTCAGGAAAATTTGGATATCCCTAACATAGGTGGATGGTAATGTTAAATCCCTAGTTGTTACTTGGATAAAGCATAAGATGATGAATTGTTCATTTAGATGGATTGAATGGTGTGTTAACCATTTCCTTTGTTTGTAAATATTTGTAACTTTTTCCTTTTTGGACCCATCTAGTTTCTTTCTTGGAGGTGGCCCGTCTTTATAATATATCTGCAGGTTCCAAAAAAAAATCAAACTCTTATAAAACTTGTGATATCTATAGAACCTATACCCATTAATTATAACTTAAAGTTTTATACTTTTCAACCATATATTCAACCCACTTCTTTGTCTTTATGTGAAGTGTTAAAATGTTTTTTTTGAAAGCCTTGTCCTTCTATTTTATAAATTTTGTTGATCCATTTCTTTCCAACTCTCATTCGATGATATGAGACGTCTGAAAAAAAATCCAAGTCTCAAAATTAGTTCATCCTACACCGTTTCATAAAGAAGATAAACCTACTAGATATTTCCAATAAAGTAAAAGAACCTTCAAGATATAGCAAATAATAATTTCTTGTGTTTATTTTCAATGTTTAACTAGATTTTTTAACGGCGAGCAATAATATTAACAAATGGCCTAAGCGAGAAGCTCAAACAATTAAAAAAAGAGTTCAAAATAGAAGATATACACCAATTAAACTAGTCAATTATACTAAGCTTGGATTTGTTGTTAATCTAAGTATATTTTTGAAGACAATGTCATTTCGGGCCTTCCATATAAACCATAAAGTTATGTACACAAGAGCCTTAATTTCTTCATCTTGACTTCACCTGTGCACGCTTCTACCATATAAATCAACTCCAAACAAGACAAAAGCATACGAGAAAGAATAGAAGATCATATTCTAACATCCATTTCCACACTTCGGATATAATGTAACAGGAAACGAAAGTGTGATCCGTATCTTTCACCATGGAGTGACAAAACGGATATAAATTCGAATTCACCGTAATCCCTCTCCTTAGCAAGTTTAATTAGATATTAGTTCAAAATCCAAAGAACCATTATGGTTGGTTATGAAACTTGTTTAAACATTTCATGAACCAATGATTTTGGTTTTTGAATCGGTTTTATGAAACTTTGGTTTTTTTAATTATTAAAAATAATTAAACTAATATAGTAAAGATGTATAACTATCTTGGATTATAGTGATTTAATCTATATATTATATATGGATATTGAAAAAACATAATATATCATGGTTGGTAATGAAACTTGTTTAAACATTTCATGAACCAATGATTTTGGTTTTTGAATCGGTTTGATGAAATTTTGGTTTTTTTAATTATTAAAAATAATCCTTTCTAATAAATAAAGATCTTATTGCCATATGCCTTCTTCTCCTTTAATTTGACACATGTAATTTTTTCATAATTTTTGATTTATTTGTTTTCCAAATGTAATTTGCTTATTGGTTCCATTTTATTTTTAGTGAAAATCATTGATTTAATTAATTCAATTCATTCTTAAAATAAATTATAATAAATTCCATTTATGAATTCGTTACTTGCTTCTACAAACATGGTTTTGTTTTCCTTTTTTATTTTCAGTATTTACTTCAAAGTAACTTTTTCAATTTAATCTTATTTTTACATAAATTTGTATTACTTTGAATTCATTTACATACTTATTCATCAAAGCTTTCTATATATATAAAATTATTACTTTTCAAATTGTCTAACGTTTATAAGTTTATATATTTTTTAATAAACCCGTGTAACACACGGGTCTCACACCTAGTTAAATTAATATAGTCAAGATGTATAACTATGTTGGATTATAGTGATTTAATCTATATATTATATATGGATATTAAAAAAACATATTAGCACAAATGCAAGTCATTTTTTTAGAACGGCGGAAATATCATAAAAACTAGCGAATGCAAGTCTATTGATTTGAACTATTTGATAGATCAAACAAATTTCATATATGCGATATAGGAGTGATCATTTTTATCACACAATTTTGCATGTCATATCACATCACACTTATCTATTCTCTTAAAAAATTGCCAATTAAGGGTGGGTTGCCACCTTTCCACAATAGTTTTTTCTTTTATTTAAAACTGAAATTAATTTATATAAAAATTATTGTTTTACATAAAACTAATTTTTTCTTTAAAATTAAAAAGACAAGTACATCTGAAATTAAATAAAACACAACAAACTTGAAATTATAATAAAACACAAGACACTTCAAATTAAAACAAGTAACAAATTAAAATAACGCACAAGACAACTTCATTCAAAATATTGACATCATTCGTTGGATCTCTTCACAATTTACTAAAACTCTACAAATTGAAAAAGTTTGTTACTTTTTTACTTTCTGTATGAAAAGTTCGAAGAACATTGGCTAACAACATTCCATTTTAACCATTTTTTGAATTACGCACCACCATACAAAACACAATGTGAAACTATATTGCCATTGCGTTTGTTGCTCTCCATTTGGCGAAAATTTGCTCTTTACTTCGTTGGCTCCCTTCACTTGCTTTGCGGTTGTACTGCTGGGTGATTCTATTCTAGAAAGTATTTTCATGTAAGCAGTGGATGTAATTTGGATCTTCATTTACATCGACCTATGCACGAGCCAAAATCATATTTTCATCCTTGTTCCACATACGGATCATTTTGAGAGATGAAGAAGATTAGAAGATGGTGAAAATAAAGAAGATTGGAGAGATGAATTAAGAAGATTTGAATGTGGTCGAAAGAAAAGAAGGATATTAGTATTTATATCTGTTGACGAATGGTTTAAAATTTGAAATTTTAAAAAGAAAAAAAATGATTATATTTTAAAAAATAGTGTATTTTTTTTAAAGTGGTAAAAAAAAATACTCAATACACACTCTCATCGGTACACATCTACTAAGTAGGTCACTGAACTCGACATGCTTAGTTGGTGACGTGGTGTTTTCCGAGTCCAACTCGGATCGAGACCTAACCAAAGCCACTCCCTTCGGCCTTATAAGTTCCTTTTCATTTTTCGACGACCCAAAAAGCTGACCATAGAAAATATATAGAAGCTTCTTTAAAAAAAATCCCCAATGAGAAACAACTAAAAGGACTGAATTTATGATAATGCAGAAGTATAAGGATCATATGAGACAAATTAAAAAACTAAAGCAAAGTCAAAGGTGAACCAAAAATGTTTATTGATCTCCACCACCTTGCCACTTGCCAGCAAAGCTAAAATGTTGGGATCGTCTTTTGCCGTTAAAGCCGCGCGCCCTTTCTCTCTTCTCTTCTTCAAAGCCGGTCAAAACCGAGGTGGGTTTCTTTTTCTTCATTCTTTCCTTCGTTCTGATTATATGCTTTGAATAATAGGAGAGAATATAAAACATTCAAATAAAAAAACACACACACGAATAGGCTAAGTTTTTCGATTTCAATAAAACCCATTTGAAGATTACATATATTTTGATTTTGATTTTGGTATTGAGATATGGATCTCAATAGAAGAGGAGTTGTTTTGGTGATTGGATTTGTTGTTCTTCTTCAATTATGTAATTTGGCATCAGCCAATATGGTTTTCCAGGTTCAGCATAAATTTAACAAAAAAATTTCTTTGAATCAACTCAAATCTCACGACACCCAACGCCATGGGAGATTACTTGCCGCTGCTGACCTCCCTATAGGTGGCGACCGCAGCCCCACCTCCGCCGCGTTAGTTCTCTCTCTCTCTCTCTCTCTCTCTCTCTCTCTCTCTCTCTCTCTCTC